CCCCAAAACCCCAAAACCCCAAAACCCCATAAGTATCTGTAATAACTGAATTGATACAAAATTATTTTATAAGAAACCGATATGGTAAATACTAAGTTTTAAATTTAGCAAAAACAAGAGAAACATAAGCTGTCAGTGGCGCCCCTCAAAAGTTTCTCAGATTGTGCCCTGGGAGACCAGAGCACGAAGAGTACTGAGGAGGATCCTGAAATTGTGATTTTTCCTGAATTTTCTATTTCCATTAATCCCAGAACTACTATGAATGCTACTGAAGATGAAAATTCTTGATGTAAGGAAAGATGCCACTCATTTGCTCTTGATAATTTACCGAAGAAATCTTTGCATGCCAGGAAGAAAGCAGGAAGAGAGATTAAACTGGCTACTTATGGCAATCACAAATCTCTCTACTGAAACAATATGAAGCTGAACTTGAGAAATCACAAGCCAAAATAAATTAGAGTTTTGGAACTCGAGACTCCGCAAATTAGCTGGTGTCAGGACACGAAGTAGATATAAGGGTTTTAGGCTTCTTCGTTAAATTTTCATTGCTAAATTTCTCATTTAGAACCAGACAAGATTTCTATCAAAGGACATGATCCCCGGTTGGTACTGCAAGACAGGAACTCCAATAGTGTTGATCACCGCGAGAGCAAAGCTAGGAAATAAGCCAATGAACTTCTTCGGCAAGGCTACCACGAATATGTAAATCTTAATAATGATAAAAATAGGGTGAAAAGTATCAAACTTGCACAGCGAGGTAGCTACATTTGATTAAATTCTTTTCTAATTCCCTAACCTAGGCGTTATTACAAATGTCCAGAAGGCCAGGTCTAAGACAGAGTATGATTATTTCCATAACCCTCGTAGGTGTAAACAGCCAGAACAAAATATGCCCAAAGTCTGTCAGAAATGTAATCGCTCTTGTATAATTCTCACTAGCTATCAAGCTGAAACGAAGGAAGAAGAGTAGGACCAAATTTCAGAATCTTAGGCTGTGAGTTTAGATAGGTTGATACCTTTTAGCCTCAAGACACAGAAGGGTCCGTTCTACTCGAAATCAATTTCGATAACTCAGAAGCAGTCAAGGTATATCTTTGGGTCGCCCACCACAATTCGAAGTCTCCAACCAAGTTGGCTCTCAGGGAGAAAACAAATTTTAAGGGAAAATATAAAGTATGTGGTTGGATTTGACCTGATTTAGGAGCTTCTTTGGGTAAAATAACACTCAGGGATTTAAGTTAACATGTTATGAATTTTCAACGAAAATTCATTTTAGAGGGGTTTTGGGGTTTTGGGGTTTTGGGGTTTTGGGG